ATTAACCTTGAGCACTGCATTTCCATTTGCCCTACAGCTTTCCCAGGACTTTTTTTTTTGTTCTCTTCAGTTCTGTCTTGCATCTGAACTGCCTTGTAATAAATAAGGAAAACATGTTATTAGAAGACACAGATTTATATGAACCTGGAATTCACTGAAGTTACAAAAAAAAATAATTTCTCTGACCAAAGCCACTGACCGAAATTGTGGAAAGCAGAGTAAAACATGTTACTTCTCTTAAGAGCATTCCGTTGACTTCACAAGTCAGTTTAACTAAACCATCCAATAAATGTGCATTAAGTTGATAGGTGATTTCAGGTCATCCCTAATTCCCAAGGTCAAGGAAGCCTTTGAAACAGTCTTTAAGAATATACGCTCACCCAGTTCATCAAAGTCATCTGACACAGCGTTTTCTTCTTTTGGTTTTTACAATGCATTAAGTTTAGGGGATTAAGTGGCCCCTGCTTCGAACCCCCAAAGTAAAGCCTCTAATATGCTTATCCATCCAGCAATCAGAAAAGCTGCTCAAACAGGGGCTTCCTAATGCACTTCCTGACTTTACAAGCAAGTGTACAGGGATTGCCTCCTCCTGCGGAGAAGTTGGGGCAAACAAATTCACCACGATTTGCCTTAGACACTGCTCATCTAAGTCTGTGCTGCTTTCATCTGCTACAAGTAAGGTTAGTGTTTCTCATCTGTTTTTATTTACTACTGTGTGGGGGTGAGTGAGGGGAGAAAAAGAAGAGGGAGGAGGGTGAAGAGAGCGTTCCTAGATACAATAAACACCATGCATTCTGTTGTTCCTTCAACTCCTCAAAAGCTCACCTCAGGAAGGGATCGCTTCCCAATAAAACGGAGGAGGCCACACGAGACAGCTGCACATGAATGAAGATGCAGCCTGTCTTCAAATCTTTCCCAGAGTCACAGTCCAACAGATAGTAAGCAGCCTGACATAGTGACCTCACCAACCTCCCTCCCCCAGTGCAGGAACCTGGCTGACAATGTTCCTGACAAGGGGTTAGTTATGTAGCCGGGTGAGCTCATGGCTCCTTCTCTGGCCCCAGTGCACGTGCAGAAAGAGGTCTAGCTAATGAGTTATCAGTGGTGTGCTGAAGTGATTGCTAAGCCTGCTAAGCCCTGATTCATTTTGTCCTTTAGTTTTTTTCATGGTACCGATGTTGTTGTTGAGTTACAGTGGATTTTTGTCAGTATATGCTAATTATAATGTTGGTTCCTATTCTTATTGTTATTTTTTTCTCCTTTTTCTTTGTTTATTTTTTCCTGTTTTCAGGTGACACCGGTGATGCTCAGGGGCTACTCCTGGCTCTGCACTCAGGAATTACTTCTGGCGGTGCCTGGGGGACCATCTGGGATGCTGGGGGTCAAACCCAAGTTGGCCATGTACAAGGCAAATGCCCTCCCAACTGTACTACGGCTCCATTTTCTCCTTTCCTTTATTTTTCTTATTGTTTTACTTCCCTGCCTGGAATGATCTTATCCTTCAACTTAACCTTTTGCTTTCTCCCTATGCCTGGGCAGTGGACTGATTTCTACCTAACCCCGGGTGCCCATGAAGGTCTTGTTCCCCTTTATAAACTGTATAGAAAATGTAATACTTGCTATCTTTGTGTAAAACGCAATCTTCAGTTTCCATTCCAGGGGACAGAAATTAAAAGGCAAGATCTTTGTGTTAACTCCCCTCTCTTTTAAGTTTACTTGCAAAATGGGATGGCAGGCAATATAATTCTTTCTCATTTGTGTATCACCACATCAATGAAATCACATGGTAAAAGGCAAGAATATTCAAGAACAGGGCATTTCATCCGGCAGAGACGACAGACATACGCTTAGACAGATGATCATAATTCTACATGAGCCGTTCTGCCATCACTCAGCTTACAGGTGAGGAAATGCAGCCTGAAGAGGGTTAAGATCCACTATGATGACACAATTGTCAGAACCCAGCCTTGAACCTGAACTCTGCATTGAGAGTCCAGGCCCTCTAATCCTTGCTACTCAAAATATTCTCTGGATCTTTTTAAAATTTCTTTCAAAACTTCACTCCTTGAAAGCCAAGTGGCTCGAGGTTCTATCCTCCCTTTAATCAGTCCTTTGGCTTTTAGGTGCCAATGGCTTTCACTTCCACTCTGTGCCATGTGGCAGCTCCCACCCCCGTGGCCTGCTTGGTTTTGCTCTGAACTAACTAACGCTGAGGATCTGGAGAGGGAGGTCTGGCACGCTCTAGGCTGCTCCATCTGGAGTGGACCAGGGTCAGGTGGCACAGTGCCTCGTCTGTCTGTGGGGCTACTGACTGGATATTGAATTCAGCCTGAGCTAAGGGCTAAACCCTCAGGACAGAGCTTGTGACCGTTCCTTCACTTTCTCAGACTCCTGTATTTAGGTAGAAGAGGAATTTGTGTGTTTTGCGAGGCTGGGTTGGGTGTTCTCAAGTAGGGCCCAGCAAGCCTGGGGTTCACTGTCATGCTTCTTAGCTAAGCAGACCTGTGGTTCAACGTGAGGAACCCTGGTGGCACCAGAGACCACCAAGGTCACCCTAGTGACTTCAGAGGTCTCTAGGGCCGCACCTGGCAGTACCAGGGCCTTAACCTCTTTACTGTATGATCTCTTCTGTCTCTAAAGGGACTTGTTATTTGACTGAGGTTCTGTGATTTACAGTATTGTTAACGCTGGTATCCGGGCATGTGATTCCAACCCCAAACCCATCTTCAGTGTACCCACCTCCCTCTCTCCAGGAACCCTGCCCATCACCAACTCAACTATGTGGCTCAGTTCTCCCATTATGCTGCTGTGGGACCTCAACTGCTGTCTTGCTGTGTATCTTTAAGGTCCACATACGAGTGAGATCATCCTGTGTCAATCTATATTGAAAAGGATTCATTCTGATCTGAACATCAGTGAGAGACAGATCAACAGAGGCATTTGATGCTCCTAATTTAGCCGTGGAAGCAGAACCAACATTAACAACTCGAGAGTGGGAATTCCTGAGAATGGATGTGTGTGTGTGGGTGTGTCCTGAACGCCTACATTTTAGAGTCTCAGCACTCATGTTGGGGAACACGGATGTTGCACCCCTTTCAAGAGGAAGCCAAGGAGCTCTCCTTGGCATTTCCTGAATCCTCTGCCTATTGAGGCCCTTTTAATTCCTTCTATTTTACTTTGGTTTTGTTTTGGGGCCACACCCAGCAGTGCTCACGGCTAACTCCTGGCTCTGGACTCAGGGATTCCCTCCTGGGACCATATCTCTTGAGCACAGACCCAGACAGAAGCCATGAGTATAGTCAGGTATGGCCCAAAACAAAACCAACAGAAAGCAATTATTCTTTTGATTTAATGTAGCTTTTTTTTTTTAAGGGGAGATTGGAGCCACACCCAGCAGTGGGTATAGGGGAATCCTATGTGGTGCTGGGATCAAAACTGGGTCACCAGATAGGGCCCTACCCGATGTACTATCTCTCTGGCCCCACCTTTTAACTTATTTTAACGTAACATGGTTAGTCGTGATTTCAGTACTGAAATCTGAGGGAGGCTTGCAATCCTTGGTCCCAGTTCCGTTGCTTAGTAACAGAGTCAGCTTTTTAAAAAGGCTGGGCTGTGAATAGATAATAAAAGCTCTCTAAACATAACTAACTGGCAAAGGCCTAGTCCAAGTTGATAGTTGAAAGCATTTAGAAAAAAAAAAACTAGGTCAATTAACAAAAATGACAAAGCACATGAAGGATTCAGGCCATTCTTCCATTAGCCCCCAAATGGCTACATTTAGGAAATTCATGTCCTTTGAGAGGCATGCATATTCAGTTTCATTTTCTTTGGCTAGATTTGTCTGTAATCACCATTTGCAAAAGTAGCACATGCGTGTAAATCATTGCAAGGGGCCAGCTCTGGGCAAGCAGCTGAGGTGAATCTTTATCAAGGAAGCAAGGCCTGCTGGGAAACGGCCCCTGGAGAGCCACCAGCATTGAAACCACTCCAAAGGCCTGGGCTGGACTCATGGTGCAATGACTGCTATTTATTTTCTTTTGTTTCCTTTCTTTTTTTTTTTTTTTTGGTGTGTGTCTGTGGTGTGTGTGTGGGGGGTCACACCCAGTGGTACTCAAGCCTTCCTCTTGGCTCTATGCTCAGTGATCATATATAACTGTGCTCAGACGACTTTATGGAATGCTGGGAATCGAACCTGGGTGGGCCACGTGCAAGGCAAACACTCTCCCCACTGCACTGTCTCTCTGACCCCTGACTGTTCTTTCTGAGCTTCCACTTTCCTTCACAGTGCAAAGAGGGGTTCCTTCAGGTCAATATAAATGAATGATGGATGTGACAAAAGAGGAATGACCTCTCTAGTACGAAGAGAATCATACAGATTTTTATTATCTTTCTTCTAAGTGTTCAAATGATCTAATTTTCCCAAGTTCACAGTCATGTATTTGGCGAGTACCATGGACCCCCAATAGCACCTCTGGGATTATTTCTCACCTTAAGCTGTGTCAGCCTAAGTGCAGAAAGAGGTCAGTTCACATATATAATATTCCTCACTGGTCCTATCTTATCCCCAAATGGCAAGAAGAGATAAGAGTACTGAAATCATACAGTTTAAACAGTGAAAAAATTAGATGCCATTGTTCTTCTTACCTTAACATCACAAAAACCTTGGAAGCCAAATAGAATTGGACGGTAATTATCATGCATGTTGCAGTAATGTTAGACAGGAAACCTTCTAACTTGTGGTGCACAGACTAATGGACAAGTCAACATCCAAGCTAAAGATGTGCACATGATTGCTTTTTCTTGAGGCATAGAACAAATTCACTTTCTCTGTTCAATTTTAAACCGGGACATGAGAAGTAATTTAGAAAACCAGATAACTCACAGGTATGATTTTGATAGTACAGCTATGAGCATGGATGCATATTCTAGAGGGAGAAAGATGAGCTCAAGCTATTAACTATTCTGCTGTGGAGAAAACAAATGTGGTGGAGATCTCTTACTTTATCGCATCTCATCAGGCCCAGGTATCTCAGAGATTTGCTGCTCTGTGCAATCAGCGTGGCTCCCTGGTCTGTGATTTCTTTACACCACCCAACATCCACAGTCTCTATGGTCATGCTGTAGCGTCCAATGGCTATCAGTGCTGCAGAGAGAGGAGAGAAAGCAAGCACACATTAGCAGTGTTAGTAAACACTCTGATTCCAGAGATTTTTCTCATTTCCTTCCTAAATTAGTTCCTCAATTGTTGGGTAGAAATAAAATATTTTGTAAACAAATTCAATTTGAAATGCTTTGGAGAAGCTTGCCCTATAACAAATCATTTCAGAGTGAAAATAATTCCATAATTTCTTTTTGCTGAACTACAAACTTCTATCAGTTTTGCTCATTTTGGTCACGTGCACTTTTAAGCTTTTACACTGGCCGAGGAAGTACAGAAAAAAGGAGAAGAAAATGTTACAACAAACACACACATTGGTATAGCAAACCAGTTTAGCCAGAGTGGCTAAACTCTAAGGTAACTTGCATAATTTTTTTTAAAAAAAAAGAACAACCCATGTAAACACCATTCTGAAGCGTGTTACACAGCATTTTCTTCCCATCTGTTCATGATCTGTAAGATGTGAGAGTATATAACATTTCCCCATTAGTCCTTTGTGGAGCTGCTAGGGATTGGAAGTCCATTATACACACTGTGGAGTTAAATTGGAGTCAAGTTAGACTGCAGTGATGGGAATGTGCTTGCTCCGGTGACTAGGTGCCCCATATCAGAAGTTTTTCTTCTATTAACATACCAAATGCAGCCTGTCACTGAGGCCGATGATGATGGTCTCTCTAATCTTTGTGACACTTTAGCCTTGTGCCACCAGGGGTGCAGAAGCTTATCCTCTAATCTCCGTGTGACTATTTACCCTTGAGCCATAACCCATCCCTGTCAGGGCAGCCAATCGGAGACAGGCCACGGACCTGTGATTTGACAGACAATCCTACCTCTACACTCTACACTGAAGCAGAAAAACCAATTTCAATACCTCCAGCCAGAATAAGTTTATGGAACGTTGGTTTGGAAAGTAAAACTCTGAAAACAATGGCACAAATATTAAAAAGGAAGGAGAAATAGTTAATCATTTCCCCATTCTATGAAAGTAGGGATGAGTTGATTTCTGCAACATTAAAGGCAGATATTATTTTCCAATTGACTAGACTGATAAGAGTAGAGAATTACTCCTGTAAAGAAGTGTTAACTCTTACAACTCCTGGCAAGATTCTTTTGCTAATGAATTCAGTGATTTTTAAAAATTTGTACTAGAAAACTCATGCTAATACATTCAAGTATCAAGGAACTCCTATTGAGACATATTTAGAAGAACAATAATCATTATATTTTAATAATGCAACACTACGCACTGTTAGGAAAAGTGATGCCATGACATTTTCTTATACATGGATGGACCCGGAGACTATCATGCTGAGTGAAATGAGTCAGAGAGAAGGGGACAGACATAGAATGACTGCACTCATTTGTGGGATATAAAAAAATAAAAACAAATATAGTATTTGAGTAATACTCAAGAACAGTAGAAACAAAGGCCAGGAGGACTGGTCCATGGTAGGAAGCTTGTCACAAAGGAGGAGGAGGAATGCAGTTAGACAGAGAAGGGGCCACTATGACAACGACAGTTGGAAATGATCACACTGGATAAGAACTGAGTGCTGAAAGGAGGTAAAGTGATATGCATGATACCCTTTCAGTAACAGCATTACAAACCACAGTGCCTGAGAGAGAAAGAAGGAGGAGGGAGGGAGGGAGGGAGGGAGGGAGGGAGGGAGAGAAAGAGAGAGAGAGAGAGAGAGAGAGAGAGAGAGAGAGAGAGAGAGGTCTGCCATAAAGGCAGGCTATGGAACAGACGGTGGGAGGAAGACTGCAGACACTGACGGTGGGAAATGTGCACTGGTGAAGGGATGGGTGTTGGAACATTGTGTGACTGAAAGTCAATCGTGAATGACTTTGTAACTATGTATCTCATGGTGATTCAATAAAAGAAAGTACAAAAAATCATGATACTGGTTTTGATTTTTTTCCCTGGAAGGGCGGGTGTTGTGGGCACCTCTGCAGTGCTTGGTGCTCAGTGTTCCTCCTGGCGGAGCCCAGGGACCCGGCAGTGTTGGGAATGAAATCCAGGGCTCCACCAGCAAGCAGATGCCCTGGTCCTTTGAGCAGTTCCTTCCCGACCCAGAATCTCAGGGGTTTCCAGTGAAAATGCTACAGGGAAAGAGCACATTTACTGTCCTGGGAGTTCTGCAGGCCACTCCTCTGGGGATGCTCTTATCCTGGCATGTACTATATAACTATATAAAGGTTTGCCTGATGGTCTGTGTTACATTTTTGTGTCAAAGTAACAACCACCAATGTTAATTCCGTGGGTACCCCTGACCAAAAAAAAACACTGTCATCATCTCTGGGGGATGCATCATTTTCACTGCTTAGGACAGTCCCTTGATTCCCCTGGAGAAACACTGTGGAAGAACATAAAAGAAATGCCTTTCAGGACAAGGTGCTCAAATTGTGATTTCAAAGATGAAAAATATCAGTTGCAGACTGGTCCTAGGTCTGCAGATTGTGTCGTCTTTCTAAGGTTTGAGATAAGAACATGAAAATCCTATGTTATCCTAGAAAAGGCAAAGCAAATCTGATGTATCTTTAGCAATTACTCGATAAGCAAGCCAAGAAGTCATGGAATCTAGCCGCTAGAGAAAAACACTGCATGTGGCATTTTTCATTTCTTTCTTGGTCAAATGAAAATAAAAAGCAAAGAAAGGCAACTGGAGATTTTTTTTTTTTTTTTGGCCACAGTGTTCTTGACTAAATAACTGCTCCTCTTAGAGCATTTTCTCCAATACTTATTGACTACCATCGTGCTAGACACTGGCCTAAGAATTTTAGGTGACATTTTCTTATTTATCCCTTGGAGCAATCTTATAAAGTCTGTCCGACATTTTTAGTTTTAAAGATCAGGAAGTCAAGTAACAGAAAACTTACTTAAATAAATTTCCTCCTTGTAACTGACATACAGGAAGACTCGGAGTGGGAGGAAATCTCAGAGCCTGCTCTCCTAGGCTGTAGATAAGATCTCCCAAACCTGAACCGTGGGTCCAAGCAATCCTCAAACAGCCCACCAACCCGCGTGACTGTGGTGTGGCAAGCCAGAGAAGGACCAGCTTTTGGGGTCTGGAAATCACAGCATGTGGAGTAACAGTGTGACATATCAGGGTGTGCCAAACTCTCATGGACTCCTTGTGTCTAACAACTGGGAGGGCGAGGCAGATGTGACGAACAAAGAAGTTAATGATGAAATTATTCCCCCATCACTTCCCATTCCTAACTTTCACACTGCTGAGCTCAAGTGAAAATCAGCTTCTCAGAAAAGCTCATCCTGTCATTGATGAACTATTATTGGACGTTTCATTCATTCATTCATAGTCTATTAGAATGACAGCTCCAATTTACTACAACATTTAACATATGCCTGGTAGATGGTAGGCTTTAAAAAATATCAGTTAGTTAAAGTAATATGGCCCATTACAGAGGCATGCCAAGGGCAGAGAGTTTAGCCCGTCTCTCTTTAGGGCAGGAATGAGATCACAGGAACACTTATGAAGAGCTGACCTAGGTCTTGAGGGATGAATAAGGATTCTCTAGAAAAATAAATAAGTAATGGCAGATATGTAGGGCTAAGAAATGGATCTGTATAGGAACAGGGACATGTGAAAATCAACACAAAAGCAAAATGATTCGAAACTGAAACAGGTGTTCTTAAAAATATGTACCCATCACTGTACGGCTGGCATTTAGATGGGGGGCTCAGAAAGAGACTGGTCAAGTTACTTCTACTCCCAATAGCCCTGCAAATACAATTTACATTTTTGAGGTGAGACAACAGAAGTGAAATACTTAACCAGGGCTCCCTGTGCCACCCACTCAGTGGCAGAATTGAGGAGCTTATGGAGATAGTTGGTTTACTTGAAAATCAGTGTTCAGGGCCAGAGAGGAAGCAGATGGTAGTGGGTAGTGGAATTTCCATGTGTTCAAGACGTGTAGGGTAACATTGCTTTGTCCTTCTTCCACAAGGAGCTTAGGTTTATCTTGTTACACCCATCACAGTGCTCCTGAGGCATTTCCATTCCATTGTGTTTATCTGTAAACAGTCTTCCCTATGCTCTCCTCTCCACCCAGTTAATCAGCTTTCCCCCTAATCAGACTCTGTTAATTTGTAAGGATTCCCAGAAATCTATGATTTTATATGTACGAGTGATATATTGCCTTTCTCCTCTCCTTGTGCCTTATGAACAGTTTACTTTAAAGCAATGCCCTTTTTTGTATAGATACAGGAAGACTGTTAACATTATGCTTTGTAACTTAGGATTTGATTGGCTTTGAATTTTATTCACTCCCAGGCATCTGCTTTCTCGTCTTAAGCCTCAGTTGCCCTTAGTTCCTAACACCCCAAAAGCAGGGTCCCGACGAGGGACTGAACGGACCTAGGGCAAGTGGTGAGCTACCTTGGCAGCGAAATGGGCCAGGCCAAAGTGCCATGATTCTTAACTATAAGTTAAGAGTTTGATCATAGACAAATGCTGTCATGATCCAAAGGTAACGACGAGACTAGGATCCTGCTAGGGGTGGGAAAGACTATCTGGCCTGAGCACTGTAGTCTGAGATCGAGATGGCCCTAGGAGAATAATTCTATAAGTTTAAGATATTTCTTACTGTATCCATACAAAATGATTTATATTATATATTCTTATATGCTTGTGGGACAAGGAGAGGAGAAACACACCCTTGGGATTCTGCTCTAGGGTGGGTCCTCCTGCTGAGAAAGGATCTGTCCTAGGAGCGGCTTTCCCTGAGGCTAAGATTTCTACCCCTATTGATTATGACGGCAGTCTCCTGCCCCCGCACCTGACTGTCCTCACCGCCGGGGCCCCTTAGTGGGGAGCGGGTTGAGCTTTCTTCCCCGTCCCGACCAGGGCTCCGGCAGTCAAAGACCTCCAGGACCAGCCACCACCATGCTGAGACCACTCTCCGCAAACATGGAAGGTACTGGCAGAGGGACAAAGTCACGCGGGTTCCGGGGCTGAGATCTC